CTACTTCTGTAAAGATTTACAGACTTGGAAACCCAACAGGGTTGCCATGAGTTGCAACTGACTCAATAGCAATGGGTTTGGGTTTTTTGTGTGTTTGTTTTTTGTATGTGAAAATACCATGCTAGGACTTGCAGGGAAATTAGGAGGGGTGGAAGGCTTTTGAAGGCTAATGAGACACAACACTTACTGTCCAGGCCACTTATAATCTCATGTTGTTGTTGTTGTTAGGTGCCGTCGAGTCGTTTCCAACTCATAGTGACCCCATGCACAGCAGAACGAAACACTGCCCGATCCCGCACCAGCTCCACAATCCCTGCTATACTTGAGCCCATCATCGCAGCCATCGTGTCAATCCATCTCATTGAAGGCCTCCCCCTCTTTCGTCGACCCTCCGCCTTACCAAGCATGACATCCTTCTCCAAGGTTTCATGAGCAGTTGATAATTTGCCCACATAGAAGTAGCCTCAAAACAGGTTGAATGAAGCTACTGATGCCAACTCTTTTTCAACCATCCAATTACCAAGGTCTGGAATTAAAACACATTAGCTGTTATTAATTAATGTGACCGTACTGGTGTTGCAGTGCCTAAGGCATTTGGCTGCTAACCTGCTAACCAGAAGGTTGGCAGTTCAAACCCAGCAGCCACTCCACAGAATGAAAATGAGGCAATCTACTTCCATAAAGATGAGGCAATCTGCTTCCATAAAGATTTACAGCTTTGGAAACACAGTAGGAGTCATTATGAGTCAAAATCAACTCAATGGCAGTGAGTTTGGAGTTTTTATACCTCAGAGGACCATGCTCAAAAGCAAAAGATGTAGATCAATGATAGTAACAACTACTATCATAACTTTAGTAGCTCTGGGGATATAGTTGTTCAAGCATTTGGCTACTAACCAAAAGGTTAGAGGTTTGAACTACCAGCCACTCCATGGGAGAAAAATGAGGCAGCCTACTTCCATAAAGATTTATAGCCTGGGAAACCCTACAGAGTAATTCTCCTGTCCTAAAATGTCATCATGAGTCAAAATCAACTCAATATGCATGAGTTTGGTTTAGTTTTGGTTTTATCACAAATCTGTAATTGGCAAGGTGCACACATTGGAGATTCTGAGACAAGGCCACGTGAACCTGCCAATGAGTTGGCCCCCAAAGGATTTTCACTTTCTTTAGCTTCTCCAGAAGCTCTGGTGCTGTAGTGCCTAAGGCATTTGCCTGCTAACCAGAAGGCTGGCTGTTCAAACCCACCAGCCACTCCTTGGAAGGAAGGTTGGGCGATTTTCTGCCACAGTGATACCGCCTCGCAAACCCAAGAAGGGGTCACTATGAGTCGGATCCAACTCACAGTAGTGAGTTTGGCTTTTTTTTTTAGCTCCTCTAGAGGAACCCTGATGGTGCAGTGGTTAAGCTATCAGTTAGTCACTACACAGGAAAAAGATGTGGTACTCTGCTTCCATAAAGATTTCCAGCCTTGTAAACAATCCTACTCTGCCCTACAGGTCGCTATGAGTAGGAATCCACTCACTGGCAGAAGGATTGGTTTTGGGGTAGCTTCTCTAGATCCATCAATCTGTTTTAGGTGTAGATTTGGATCTAGCCAGAATGAACCACAAAATTTGAGCAGGCCAAAACGATACTGAGGCCAGGGCAACTGAAAAGTGGCCCAAACTCCATTAGGAAACTTGCTCCACTGCAATATCCAACTGGCTCTTGTTCATTTGGGTAGAAAGGTGTTTGGGAAAAGAAAAGTAAAAAAAAAAAAAAATGGTTCCTACCTCTCCCCAAGTCACAAGCTGAGGAACGTTCCTTTAATGAGAAAACTGAGGGTGTGGGTCCTTATAATATTCTTCTATGGCAGGTGTTGACTGTGTCCTCTAAAATATGTGTTGTAAATCCAAACCCTCCATGGCAGTATGTTTGGTTTGGTTTGGATACCTGTGGATGTAACTGGGGAGTAGGGTTTTCTTTGTTATGTTAATGTCAGCATAGGGTGTGTCTTAAACCAATCACTTTTTAAATATAAAAGGAGCAGATTAGGCATAGACACAAGCAAGCACAAACTGAAGGGAAGATATATGCTATGTGGCGATCTCTAAGGAACAACTAGAAGAATGCTAGAGAAACTGAGACAAGATTTTTTCCCTAGAGTGGACAGAGAGAGCCTTCGCCTAGAGCCAGCACCCTAAATTTGGACTTTTTTTCTTTGGCTTCCCAGTTATACACAGCTGCTCCTGCCAAAGTGACAGGAATCTGGATCAAATCTCTGGCTGTATGCATTTCTGCATAAAGTCTAGAGCCCAGGGAGAGGCTCTCAGTTAGAAAGAAGCATGTCTTGGAGGGGGAAGGGATAAGGTAACACAACCAGTGACAACTGTCCACAGAACTTAGGAAGTACCTGTGAAGGTACTAGACTGAAGAACTGGTTGGAACAGTAAGAGGAGAGGCTAAAGTGATGAAATCATGGGCCGGGAGAAAGGGACCTGCGCATAGAAACCAAGGATTAGCCAAAAGGAAAACTAAAATGAAAGTGTTGTTCATTTTCACATTTAAATGAGAGAGTAAAGCTAGCAGGGGATCTAGAAGTACTGAGCTGTTAGAGATGTTGACAAGTATGTGCTGCCCCACCATCATTGTACTATGGTGCCCCTCATGCTGTAGGAAGAAACAGTTCCTGCCGCCATCCTCAGGCATCCTGGAAAAGTGAGAGAAGCCATAAAAAGTCCTGACTATACATTCATTTAGGAGCTCTGGTAGCATAGTGCCTAAGGCACTTGACTGCTAACCAGAAGGCTGGCGGTTCAAACCCACCAGCCACTCCTCGGAAGGAAGGTTGGGCAATCGTACTTCCGTAGTGATACTGCCTCGGAAACCCAAGGAGGGGTTGCTATGAGTCGGGGCCGACTTGACGGCACATAACAACAAAAACATACATTCATTTACTAAAGTCAACTTGAGTATGCAGAGGCCTTGAGTGTAAGCACATGCTCAGTTTGATCTGAGTATTAAATATAAACCAAAAAACAAACAAACAAACCCACTGCCATCGAGTCGATTCTGACTCATAGCGACCCCCGTTGGGGTTCCAAGGCAGTAAATCTTTATGGAAGTAGATTCCCCAGTCTTGCTTCTGTGGAGTGGCTGGTGGGTTTGAACTACCAACCTATGGTTACCAGTCAGATGCCTCAGACACTGTGCTACCAGAGCTCCTTGAGTATAAGTATAGCCCCCTGGTTATGCACATGCTATTAAGGAAAACTGCCTGAGTTCCAAGTGTAGTTTTGCTCTCATTAGCATTTAACCTTTCTGTGCTTTAGTTTCCTCATCTGTAAAGGAGGAATGACAGCACCTACCTCATAAAACCAAACCAAACTCATTGTTGTCCAATTGATTCAGACTCATCTGGACCCCTCCTTGGGTTTCCAAGGCGGTATCTCTACGGAAGTAGATTGCCCAGTCATCCTTCCAAGGAGTGGCTCGTGGGTTTGAACCACCAGCCTTGTGGTTAGCAGTCAAATGCCTTAGGCACTACACCACCAGTGCTACTGTTGTTGTTGTTATGTGCCATTGAGTCAGACCCAACTCACAGGGACCCCTCCTTGGGTTTCCGAGGTGGTATCACTACAAATGTAGATTGCCCAACCTTCCCTCTAAGGAGAGGCTGGTGGTTTACTACATAGGGCTAAAGGAAATTTTAAAAAGATAACATGGATGAAATGCATGTAGCACAGTGTCTGAGCACTCAACATACAATGCTTCTCATTATCAGAGGTGTTCATTAGAACAATAATTCTTCTTATCTACAAAGATCAAAGCACTACTAGATAATAGCTCTCCACCACTGTACTTGGACCACTGTTATTAGAGCCTTCCTCAGGTGCTAAGAGGAAAAGTAGTATTTGAGATGTGAATATGAAAAAAATTGCATTGGCCTCTGTAAGTTCCCAAATGGGCATTGCATGGATGCACAAACACTAAAAACCACACCGCCAGGGATAAGCAGGCACCAAGAACTTGACAGGTGAATATTACCCTTGAGCAATGTCCAGTGTCCTTTCTGCTGTGTGTTGCTTTTGTTGTTAGGTGCTCTTGAGTCATACCATCCCTATGTACAAATGAAACACTGTCCGGTCCTGTGCCATGCTCAAAATTGTTGCTGTCTTGGAGCCCACCGTCTAAGCCACTGTGTCATTCCACTTATTCAGGGTCTTCTTTTTTGCCCATACTCTACCTGGCATTATATGAGAGATTAAGTCTAGCCAGTCTCACTTCTAAGGATCATTCTGGCTGTACTTCCTCCAAGCAAGAACTATTCATAAGATTTTCAATGGTCAATATTTCAGAAGTGGACCTGGCCACATCTTTTATTCCTAGGCTCTAACTATAGCCAGCCTAATTTGGCAATAGTTGCTTCATGTCCAGTGCATTGCCCAAGTACAGATAAGGGTCCTTCATGGCGAAACCGTGTGAGGATCGTGGTGAATAGGGTTAAATGGGGTCGCACATGTCACGGTCAAAGAAAAAAGCCCTCTGCCACCATGGCCCACCCAGCAGAATTCCTGCCGCCAAAAAGTCCACGAGGCGTGGTTGAGTGTGGAAGATGAGAAATACCGCCTTCCACCCCCACCGCACCGCAGACCTAAGCGTTCGCTGGACTTTAGGGTTGCAGGCACTAAATTTACCCTTTACCCCTCAAAGTATTGTTATGAAATCCAAGGGCGGCCCAGGCGACCCCAGCTGCACTTGCTCGCCGCCTCTGTGCGCCAGTCAGCCAGCCGGCTGGCCGGCACGCGCGCGCTCAGACCAGGGGAATGGTGGGGTGGAGGAGGGGCGCGCGACGCGAGTTGGGCGCGCGGCAGGGGCGGGCCTTGGGGGCGGAGCCGGCGATAGCTGCACGCGCATTCGCAGCACCCTCCCAGCGCCGCTGCGGCGGGGGCGCAGCTAGCCGATAGCAGCAGAGACGGCATCTTAAATAGCAACCCGGGCTAGTGCTGGGCAGGCAGTGGGCTGCAGTGACAGTCGGCGGCGGAGCGGCCAGGCCAGCAGAGGAGGTGAGTGTGCCTGCCGCGCGGATCTGGTCTGTTGCCAGTTCGGCACCCCTAGTCTTGGCGGAGGCAAGAGACTGTGCTTGCCTTGCTGGCCCAAGCCCCTCAGTGGAGTCACACGATCCGCTTGTCGGCTTCTGGGGACGTTCCGCTTTTCCGGCCTCTGCTCTGCTGCTTCGTTTTCCTCCGCGGCTGGAGGCCGCTGGGCCAACCGAACGACCGCCGTTTCCTGTGCATGAGCCGGGGATGCCCTTCCGCCCGCCGCTCCCGGCGAGCTAAGCGGGCACCGGGCCGGTGCAAGGTGGGGTCCGGGTGACGCGCGCCGCGGGATCTGTTCCTTGTTTGTGTGGCCGGGAAGCTGGACGCAGAGCTTCACAGGAGAGATGATTCTGCAGCCGGTGGCGGTGATCTCCCGGCAACGGGCATCCCTTCTGCCTCAGTGGCAGGGTTTGAGGCGCTCGAACCACATGTGGAAGCAGGACTGTACTTACGCCTGGGTGTGATGCATCATCAAAAGTCGGTTGCCATATGTAGAAATTCTCGCAGTGTCTGCAGTCGAGTGCCCATAGCGCTGTTGGAGGCATTGGTTTAAGGAACATTAGCATTTTTTAAAATTAGCAAGCAAGGATTATATCTATCATCTTGCAGCATAGACGGAGAGTGATGATAGATGGCTTGTATGAACACGTGGACTAGAATCTAGAGATAGAAGCATCGGCTAATCAGTGTATGGCTTACAAAACCCCTCCCCATTTCCACCCAATTTTGAGGTTAGGGAATTCAAGAATGGTCATTATAGAAGTGTTCTTGGAATACCCTGATTAAGACTTTTAAGCATTCTTGTTGTGCCAGGTGTATTCAAAATACACCATCAGAAACTGGTCAAACCTTGCAGTTTCTTACACAAATTTCACAACTTAACCTGTGATTATCTCAGTGAAGACAAGCATTTGCTTAAACAAAAACTCAACCGAAAGCTGTTAATTCTGTTTTTTTCCTCTGTTTTGCTTTTTTTAAGTGGACTTAACAATTCCACCCTGTGCACTTGGTGGGCTTAAGAACGTAGAGCATGTGGATAGACTGCATTAGACTAAAGTCTTTCCTGAGATGAAATTTTATGACTAAAAAAGCAGCAAACCTCGTACCTGCTCCCCCATCATTTTAAATAATATAGACATATTGAGGACCTTTGTCTTCTCAATTTGTCATAAATACAGACATTTTTAAAAAGTTACCCTCCACAATTACAAGCATTTTGATGTGTTAATTTAATTATTTCTGTTACACTTAATTGCCAGTAGTTTTATTATATTGTAAACAACCTGACTGAAAAGAAATCGCTAGACTTTAAGGATTTTTTTTACATTTAAGGGGAAGATACATGTGATGAATGCAGGTAGAGAAAGTGTCTATACAGACAATTTCCACACTCTTTTGCTTCGGAGTGACGTTTGGAATAACTAAAATTGTGCCACTGTGCCATAGTGTCAATTTGACATTCAGGTTTTCTACACCTTTATTTATTATTATTACTTTACTATATCTTTAGTTTTGATGTAGCTGTCCCTTGGAAAAATGAGTGCGTGCTTGGGGAGGGGCCTTGGGGAAGATCAGGTTATCTTATTATGACAGCTGGGAATTTCTCTTCCTTTCACGTTTCTTTTTTGAAAGAACAAGAGTATAAGAACATTAGTAACTTCTAGGTATTTATGTTGAATAACCTTGGAGGTAAGTATAATTTTTAAGGCATTTGTTGAATTTATCAAGCAAGCTTGCCGTTTAAAACAGATGTGCATTATTCTTTTGTGCTTATTGTCCCCTATAACCAAATTTTGGAAGCTCTGGTAACGTAGTGCCTAAGGTACTTGATTGCTAACCACAAGGCTGGCAGTTCAAACCCACCAGCCACTCTTTGGAAGGAAGATGGGGCAATCTACTTCTGTAGTGATACTGCCTCGGAAACCCAAGGAGGGGTCGCTGAGTCGGGTCCGACTAGACGGCACATACCAACAACAACAACATAACCAAATTTTATTAAGTTAGAATCCATTAGCTTTTTATGGACAGTCTTGCTGGTAGGATGCATGACTAAATTCAGACGACCATTCTGATTAATGCATAGTATTTCTGTGATACAAAATACAAAACTTATTTTAAGGCAGCTCAAGGTTGTTGGTAACCCAAGTCCTCTTCAAGCCTTACCCTCTAAAGGGCAGTGATCAGTCAGTCCTGAGGCCAGTTGAAAGTGCCAAGAGTTTTTATTGGAGGTCAGTTCCAACTAGAGGTGGTCAGACAAATATGGTAGGATCACTTGACACTCATGCCTGGAAAATTATTCTCAGTGAACAGATCTGTGGTAGTTAAAGTTATGTGTCACCTTGGCTGGGCCTGGGTTTGAGTGGCTGTGCAGCTGGATGTAGTGATTCCCCACGATGAGACTGGTAATCAACTCCATGGTGGAATCTGCTGTGAGCAGCTGAGTAGCTGCCTTAGGGATGTGGTCTGCTTCCAGTGTATAAGTAGAAGCTGTGAGAAGGGTCTCTGAGCTTTTTGGCACATCTGGATCCTGCATCCAGCCAAGTCTTCATCTAGTGGCCTGCCATGTTGTTTGCTGATCTTGCAACTTCTTCTGGACTTGAACATGCCGTGTTGCTTAATACTATCATTTTACTTGTCAACCTTGGGTTTGTCAGCCTCAGCAACCAGCAGCTGCCTGAATTAAGAGAAGCCTCCAGCTCCAGTGGGCTGGGAGCAGGAGACATGGGTGAGGGACCTTTATCCAGGCCCTAGAGCTGGCACTTTGAACTTGGACTTCTAGCCTATGCTAACCAGAAGGCTGGTGGTTCAAACCCACCAGCCACTCCTTGGAAGGAAGACTGGGCAATCTACTTCTGTAGACATACCGCCTCGGAAACCCAAGGAGGGGTCGCTATGAGTCAGAACTGCCTCCATGGCAGTGAGTTATTTAAACTGTAAGAGAATAAATCCCAGTTCGTTCAAGCTATACATTTGTGGTATTTTCTGTTGGACAGCACTAGAGAACCAAAACGAGTTGATCTGAAGCTGTCAGAGATTGAGTTTGACTTTTAACATACTGGTATTTAATGAGGCTTCTGAGAACTTTTAAAGAAACAAAATAGTAGCTGAACTTCATGGACTAAATGCAGAGGAGATTTTACCAGTGTTTGTGGTAGCCATTCTAAGATTATGATTTTACCACCATTCTTACATAAAATGCTAAATACCAATACGTAAGAAATTCTAGGTTGTGTAAGTCTATGTGACAGATAATTTGAAACAATTGTCCATATCACAGTAAGAGAAAGCTGGCACATGATCTGTGTTGTATTCATTTTTCTGCTGTTTCGTATGGTGATATTTGCAAGTTCTTGACTGTGTTGGTGACCACACAGTATTTAGTAAATTATAACCTTTATGGAATAAAGAAGAGGGAATAAAATATAGTGGAGCCTTCCTTAAGCGTACCTGGCTTGGAGAAACTTGCCATTCTGCAAATAAACATTTACATGGAGGTAAGTGAGAACTCTGCCCCACTGTGATGCCTGCTTTGAAAGGTATCTTCTCTTGGAGATGTGTTTTTTTATCTACAACATCTAATGCTCCATGTAGGTCCAAAATTGTTGCCGGGAAGGCCATTCTGACTCATAGTGACCCTGGAGGACAGAGTAGAACTGCCCCACAAGGTTCCCAAGGCTGTAATCTTTAAGGAAGCACTGCCACATCTTTGTCCTGCAGAGTGGCTCGTTGGTTCCAGCCTCCAGCCTTTCATCGCTATGTCACAGTGGGCTCCTTCATGAATTACTTGCTGTTCTTTGAGTTTTAAATAAAATGTTGAGAACTGTCTAATACCTAAGCCAAAATCACTTGTCCCCAAAAAGCTATAGTTATTTTTTATATTGCAAAAGTAATCTCTGCTGATTATAGGAAATTTGGGCAATATTAAAAAAAAATAAAAATATTCCAGAAATTAAATATATTCCATTTTGGTGCATTTCCTTCAATCTTCTTTCCCCTCAGACTTTTTTTTTTTTTTTTAAGTTTAAAATATATATTTTTAATGGGAGATAAAAACTTTGATAATTTAACTTTACTCAGATTCCTAAGTTATATTGTGAACATTTTTTCATGTTGCTTACATACTGTTGAAGACTGTGTTGTTATGTTGTATGGAATGTGCTTACATTCAACTTACTTGTTTACCTTTCTCCTAGTTCTTAGATATTTAGAAACAAACATTTATTTCATAACACTTCTTACTTTAGATTCTTTTTTAAAAATATTTGTTGAAAATACACACAGTAGAATGTACACCAACAGTCTCTACCTGTACAGTTTGGTGACACTGATTACATTCTTCAGTTTGTGTAGCCTTTCTCACCCATCTTTACTGAATTGCCCCTCCATCCTTAGCTCACTGCCCCTGGAGCTCCTGTTTCTAACCTTTGGAATTGCTGTTGTTAATTTGATCCCAAATAGATAGTTCTTTAAAAGAGCTCAGGCAGGCATTCGTTGCTAATTAAACTAAACTGTTGTTTGGGTTAAGGAGCTTTGGTGGCTTGGTTTTTTTTGTTTGGGTTAAAGAAGACTTCTGGGGATATTTTAAGGCTCAGGTCCAAGTTTGTTATCATCAGAACAAAACTTAACATTTTCTGCTTTCAAGCTGTTGAAATTGATAATGATTTAAATTGTTTTTAATAATGGGTTTGGTGGACTTTTGGGTTCATGTGTTCTAGTCAAAAGCTGCTGAGATGCAGATTCTGTAGCTTGGGAAGACAATTTGAAAGAGTGTAGGGCATAAAAGAAGGGAAAGTGTTTGTCTTTTGTGTTATATCCTCATTCTGGGATTGACTTACTAAACATATGATGTTATGGTATCTGCCATGGTGGCACTGTGGTTAAGGTATTCTGTTGTTAACCACAAGGTTGAAGGTTTGAACCTACCAGCTGCTATGCAGGAGGAAGATAAAGCACTCTGCTTGTGTAAA